GAAGTAGCAGATGAAGGTAGCATCACAGAAAGCCACTGCTGTGCAAATACAGAAAATGCCTGACTGTGATGCCCGTGTGCATGCACACACACACACACACACATACACACACCAAGAATGACTAAAGAAGAGATCATGAATTGGATCAGGAGTGAGGGAGATGGGAGGCGTTTGAGCAGGGAGAGGGAGGGCAGGAAATGATGTAAGCTCAGCACTCCTGTTTGAAATTCTCAAAACAATTAAAATAAAAAATGTTGGTTAAAGTATGAAAGAGAAAAGCAAACTGCTTCAGGGAAGAAGGAGGCGGGCTTTAGCAGCGTCAGGTGAGATGGTTTGATGCCTCTGGGAGACAGTCCACAGCCGACAAGACCAGCTCTGTATTGACTGGCTCCACATGAAGGCCCAGGGTGTGCAGATGAGAGGCTGACGGGCCACAGCGCTGCCTCCTTATCTCTGGATCTGGCAAATGTACCCTGAACTTGGGTCTCAAGGAAAGCACTTGCTGGGCTGGAGAGATGGCTCAGTGGTTAAGAGCATTGCCTGCTCTTCCAAAGGTCCTGAGTTCAATTCCCGGCAACCACATGGTGGCTCACAACCATCTGTAAAGAGGTCTGGTGCCCTCTTCCGGCCTGCAGGCATACACACAGACAGAATATTGTATACATAATAAATAAATAAAATAAATATTTAAAAAAAAAAGAAAAAAAAGAAAAAAAAGAAAAGCACTTGCTCCGTCTGTCTTGAGGATTAGATACAGAACCAAGTGAATGCTGGGAAAGCGCCCTCTTGTGCCAGTTATATCCAGGGCACTTATTTTCCCTTTCTGAGAAAGGGTCTCACTATGTCACCCAGGCTACCCTTGAACTTGCAACCCCATCATCACGCTCAGCTCCTTCAGCAGTGTGGAGGCTGGCTTTACAGTCAGTGCATCTGGGAAGAGCGTGTTAGACCAATGGTTTGGAGTTTTTGGTCATGGATTGTTCTGAGGATCTGATGTGAGGGGTAGAGTGGGCCCAACCCTTCACTGCTGGGCTCTGGGTCAGTCTTTCAGACAGTGCCACTCGGCCATCTTACTGGGTCCTCGGGGCTCAGCACCCCTCATCACCCCTCTGTTGCCACACCGGCTAAGAAGCCCATCCCCCAATCACTTCTGCCATATTCTCTGTCCTGAGCTCGACACCTCTAACTAGAAGATCAAGGTGAGTTTTTGCAAACTACCACTTCCAACAAGGTGAAAAGCATAAAAGGAAGTGGTCACAGCCCTGCCCTTGCTCAGACTTTGCCAGGGCCTTCCATTTATTTCTAGAAAAGTCCAGAATGTTTCTGCTTCTTCCCCAAACTTCTCCTTCAGCCACTCACCAACAGGAGATCACAAACTCCAATGGCATACCAGCAGAGCGGGCTGACAATTTCAAACAGCACATTTGGGTGTACATTGCGCAGGCAAGAATATTTCTCATTTCTTAGCTTTCTTGACACATAGGGACTTCTTAGCCATTTTCTACCCATTGTTTATAATAAAGGTATGGCCAGCTACTCAGGTAACTGAGGCAGGAGGATGGCAGGGTAAAGAACTGCTCGGGCTATCGAGTGAGTTAAAGGGTATTTAGAGAAACTTCATCTAAAAATTTATTTTTAAAGAATGGGGGAGGGGCTGGACGGCTCAGAAGCCAAGAGTAGGTAATATGCTTGCAGAGGACCCAAGTTCAATTCCCAACACCCATGTTGGCAGGTTCATAACTGCCTGTAATTCCAGTTTCAGGGGATCTGATTCTTTTTTCTGAACTCTGTAGACACTGCACTCATGTGCACATACCCACACATACACACACATATACACACCCACACACACATACCCCCCACACCCACACACATACCCACACATACACACACATACCCACACACATACACACACATACCCACACACATACCCACACACATACACACACATACCCATACACATACCCACACATACACACACATACACACACACACACATACCCACACACATACACACACATACACACATACACACACATACACACACACATACACATAACTAAGATAATAAAAATGAATCCTAGAAAACCACAAAAGAATGAGGATATAGCTCAGTGGTAGAGTACCTACCTAGTATGCATGAGCAAGAACAGTAAGAAAAAATGGATACAAAAATATTTATCTCCTATCCTAAATGTAAAAATAAACCCAACAGCATCAGTGTGCTAATGAAGGATAATGGGCACCTGGTCTTGCTAAGATGGTGACAGTACTGGGTGGTAGGGACGGTCCCAAAGTGGAGAGTCTATGTGAACAGATTGGCTTACGTAGACTGCTGCTCCCCTAAGGTGGTCTGAATAAGAATGGCCCCATGGACTCCTATATTTGAATACCTAGTGACCAGGGAGTGAAACTTTGAAGAGGATTAGAAGGATTAGGAGGTGTGGCCTTGTTGGAGATGTGTCACTTGAGGTGGGCTTGGAGGTTTCAAAGGCCTACGCCCAGCCCAGAGTCTCTCTCTTCCTATGGACCAGGGTGTAACTCTCAGCTACTGCTCCAGTGCCTGCCGTCATGCTGCCTCTTCCCTGCCACAATGAAGAGGAGCGGAACCTCTGCAACTGTAAGCAGGCCCCCAGTTCAACACTTGCCTAAGAGTTGCCTTGGTAATGGCGCCTCTTCCCTGCAACAGAACAGTGACTAAGACGCTTCCTAGTAGGACAGGCTCGCATATGGCTAGACAGTGTATGTTTAAAGGAGAAACGGTGCTATTTCTGTGCAACACCCTGAAACAATGGCCATAAATGAAAAATCCGACTCATCTCTCGGGACAACAGACTGCACACCTGACAAATGGTGGTGGAGCCTGGATCTGGTCGGAGGCACGACTTCCTGTCTGTCTTTGTCGTGTCTTGTCAGTATACATGGCTTCATTTTTAATAAAGAAAGGAACTATAACCTAGCGCAGTGGTTCATACCTGTAATCCCAGCAGCTGGGAGGCCGGAGCCGGAGAGTTACAAGTTCAAGGCTAGCCTGGGATGTACATTACAAGCCAAGGGCTAGTGATATAGCCTAGTGTATGGAGTTATGTGCTTACATGCCAAGACCTGGGTTCCATTCTTAGGACCTCTCTCTCCTACAATAAAAAGAAATTATGAAGGAATTTTTGAAGAGTATAGTAGCCTGTTTTCTTGTCCGTGAACAGGAGACCCCTGTTCTGGTGTGGCCTTTGTTTGTTTGTGTTTGGCTGGGGTGAACCCAGGCCTCCTGCCTGTTAAGTACACACTTAACCACTGAGCCCACTCCTGTTCCAATGTGGCCTTGATTTTTTGAGGACAGTTTAATGCTGTTCACCCCACAAACATTCCTGGGTGTCACCGGCTGCGGGAGAGTCAGCCAGTGGGATCGTGGAATTCCCCATGCCCATTTCTTCCTCCTGTGTCTCAGCTTGGCTCACCAGCCTCTGAAGCCCTGCGGAAAGGCTGGGAGTCCTGGCTCAGAGGGGCTGAAAGGCTCCAATTGTGTGCAGGTGCCGAGAAGAGGGGGTGCAGCTCCCCTCTTCCAGACCTCCCGTGAGTCACCTCACTCCTGCCGCTGTGGGGTGAGAATCACTGGTAGGAGACACGGATTCTTTCCAAGGGTCACTCTGGCCTGGCCCCTCAGCTGCCTGGGCAGGAGAGAAGCGGCTGCTGGTCCCTGGCCAAGCTGAGGCAGTCTTAGAAAGGAATGGAAGGGACGGTGACTCAGCTGTCAGCACACGTCTCCGCAGATTGGCACAGACTGAAATACTCGGCAACAGATGGAGCTGGCGAGGCTGTGGGCAAACAGCCCCCCTGCTCCTGCCACTTATCTGGTAAAATGGGTGCAGCCACCGGGCTGGAAATGGAAAAGACTTTTGACTCAACCCAACACTTCCAGGAATCTTTTTCTCCTAAGTCCGTTCACGTGCCAAATGAGTATCTATCTATACAATACCACACGGGATAGTGTTGTCACAGCCAAAGAGTGGCCATGGCCCAAGTGTCTGTTATGAGGGCTTACTCAATAGAGGACGGCATAGGCACACACTGGAATATTATACAGTCGTGAAAAAGAACCAGGCTCTCTGTACTGGCTACACAAGCTAAAGCCATCAGAGAGGAGGGAACCTCAATAAGATTGGGTTGTAGACAAGCCTGTTGGGCATTTTCTTAATCAGTATGTGTGTGGTACTAGCCCTGGGCTGGAGGGCCTGGGTTCTATAAGAAAGCAGGCTGAGGAAGCCATGAGGAGCAAGCCAGTAAGCAGCACCCTCCATGGCCTCTGCGTCAGCTCCTGCCTCCAGGTTCCTGCCCTGTGAGTCCCTGTCCTGACTTCCTTCAGGGATGGATTATTACCTGGAAACGGTAAAGTGAAATAATCGCTCTCCTCTCCAAGTAGCTTTTGGTCCTGGTGTTTATCACCCCAATAGAAACCCTACTTAAGACAGCGGCTCCTTTGCCTCCTCACAGGGATTTATCTTCTAGACATGTTAACACGCAAGAAAGCAAGGCCAAGTGCGGACACTTTCGTTTGTTATGAAGGAAGACTAACACGAGGGTCGTTTGTCTGTTTATATATGAGATGTTAGGACGCACAAAAAGCAACCAATCTTATTAGTCTCTACAGCTGGCATTAAGGGGGAAAAGGTATTGGCAAGGATATTCGCTGGCTTTAGATCTTTTTTTTTATATTTTTATAAATATCTTTAGATTTATAAAATTTAAAAAGTATTTAGAATCTTATATTTTCTATGGCGTTAGAACATGGAACGTGAGTGTCTTTCTTGGTAGGAACAGGAATGTAAAATCTGGAAAAATGACAAGTTCCTAAATGCTTGCTAACATTGCACGTCGAGACGTGAAGCCGACCCTCACACCCTTGTCCCTGCCCTCTTGGCTTAGCTTCCAGGCCAATGGCTCTGGGATCCCATGCTCCCCAGGGAGGTACGGGGACCCAGGGTGCTGCCAGCGTATCCACTTACCTGCTCCTTCTCTGAATACGGGTTGTTGAGGACCACAGGGACGTTGCCCTTCCCCCACAGGTCATTGAAGACTCGGTCGTTCTCGCTGCCCAGCGGCAGAGCTTTGTGCAGCTTGCTGTCCCCATCTCTGAAAGGCAAGGACAGGGAGGACATGGTGAGGAAGTGATAGCAAGATGGCGGCCTTGATCTGGAAGCCCCGCATCCGTGCAGAACCCCAGCTCACTTGCAGGTCTCTCTGTGTAGCCTGTGGGTCCACGCATCTTCACCAGAACCCCACCCCTCCCCCAGTGCCACAGGGAAGGCAGTTCTAGGCTCGGGGCAAGGCTGCCACATGGATATCACTCACCCCTGCTCCCATTTCCCAGGCCTGGGAATCTGGAGGCCTCTCAGATCAGTCATTGTCAACCTCCTCAGGGATGTACCCTATGCCCTGCCCACCCAGGACAGCTCATGACCGGAAAGGCAGGGCATGGGATGGGTGGAAGTCCTGTAGGCCAGATCCAAGGCTCATTCTGATCTTGACCAAGGCTTTGGGCTTCTTTATAAAAATCACCAGCTTAGGGGACATAGCAATGAAAGTAAAAGCACTCATGATGGCGACTAGAGTCAATTAGCATTCCCTACACACGTCAGGCATGACGCGTGTGGCTCACGAGTGTGTGATGTACAGGAGAATGTGGAGGCCGGAGGTGAGCCTCAGATGTTATTCCTCAGGAGCCATTCAGCTTTTATGACTCTCTCACAGAACAGAGATTATGGATTTGATGGGACCACAGATCAGGAAACTCCATCCATTCCCTGCCTCTACATCTCCAGTGTCCGGGAGCCTTCCTTTCTGTGGATTCTGGGAACCAAACCCAGGTCCTCATTTTTTAAAGGCAAACACTCTACCAGCTGAATGGTCTCCTGGCCCCTATGTGTGTGTTTGACTCATCTAAGCCTTCAGATGGTCCGTGGGGCAGGAGTGAGGATTATCTGCCATCGCCACCATCGCCACCATCGCCACCATCGCCACCATCGCCACCATCGCCACCATCATCATACCTTCACAGATGGCGCAGATGGTGCAGAAGAGAGGGCTATGGAGGTTAGAGCTGCTGTCAGCTCCAGAGTCCAGCATGAGGGGAGACAAGTCTGGCTATGCTGATGGGGAATTAACTTGGCTGGGTCAACTCCTAGGGTCAGCTCCTCATATGGCTGAGGGCACGGTTGTTCCCAGGGACTATGGACTGTAACACATAAAGTGAGCTGAGTCCAGCATTCATTACATACAACTTCCTGACAGTGCACACAATGTGACCAGCTGTCTCAAGCTCCCGCTGCCCTGATGTCCCCGCTGTAACAGACTGCACCCTAGAACTGTGAGTTACAGACTCCCCCTTAAGTTGCTCCTGTCACGTTGTTATATCAGGGTTATGGGCGGATAAGTCACCCAGGGACCAAGGTCACAGGTGGTCAGTGGTAAAGTCATAGCTTCCAGCCTGCTGCTTACATTCACTCTGAAGTAGAGACCGTTAGTGTCCTTATTCTCCACCGCTGTCACTGTCACCACCACACTCAGAAACAAGCCTCTGGCTTTCCCTCCTCATCGGCAGTAACACCAACACCAGTGACACCCGCGTTGCCATTGTCATGATCTTTGTCACATCTTCACCGTCCTCTTCCCTATCACGATGACCGCTATTCACACATCCTCACCAGTATCAACATCATTACCATCATCACACCATCGTCACCATCATGACAATCACCATTATCACCATGGTGACCATCTTCACCATCACCGTGCTCAGCACCACTCCCATGACCACCATTGTCATTCACCATCATGACCAAGCTCGTGGTGGTGGTTTGAAAGAAAATGTCCCCCAAAGGGAGTGGCACTATTAGGAGGTGTGACCTTATTGGAGGAAGTGTGTCACTGTGGGGGTGGCCTTTGAGGTCTCCTATGGTCAAGCTATGCCCAGTGTCACAATTCACTTCCTGTTGCCTGTGGATCAAGATATAAAACTCTCAGCTCCTCCAGCACCTTGACAACAATAGACTAAACCTCTGAACTGTAAGCCACCCAAATTAAATATTTTCCTTTATAAGAGTTGCCCTGGTCATGGTGTCTCTTCACAGCAATTGACATCCTAAGACACTCATCCTCACCAAACCATCACCATCATGACCATCATCACCACCATCATTGCTGCTATAGCCATGAACACCATAATCACCGTGGCCATCATTCCCTTCCCCTCTTCACCATGACTACCACCAGCATCACCAAAATAAGAGTCGCACGAGAAAACTGAGGTCCATGTTCAGGAAGTCACTAGCTCACATCACGTGGTCCTCAACCACAGGCTTTGTGCCCGACTCCAGAACCCGATCTCTTGCCTGTGAAGCCCATCGTCTTCCTGCCCTTTCCTCTGATCGGTCCTGTAGGGTAGCCAGCCTCAGAGATAAAGACTGGACCACGCTGCCCAGATGCCCACATCACCTCTATCCTTTCCTGTGAAGGCTGCTCTCTTGTTCCTCTCGGTCTGTTGGCCCTGCATCCAACTGAGTTGTACCTTATTGTCACACCCTATCCCAACTTCAGACCTCTCAGTTACTTTGTAGCCCCCCTCATGGGTATTAGTCCCAGGCATGGGGGCTGTCTCTTGTCTAGCTCTCTGTGTTACCTCCCCAGCTTTGGGGATTCCATCCCCCCAAGTCTTATGTGGATTGTCATTTGGGATGAAGGAGGAACTGGGAGACTGTTTCACAGTGCAGGCCCTGAGCAGTTTCCCTTCCCACCGCTCCTACGGGGCCAGCCCACCCCTCCTAGCTGTGTTTTCTCTTAGTCCCTCTGGCCCATGGTGCAGCTACTTCTGTTTTTCTGCTGGGGGTGATTACATCATCAGAGGGAACATTCTGTCTCACCCTCTTTAAAATGTCACTGAAACGTCCCTGGAGTGGTTCTTGACGGCCAGCATTTCCCAAGTCAACGGACTACCTGTGCAGCAATTAACTAGGGAACGGGCTGTAGAGAGTTGCTTCAAATGTCACTCAGCTCCATTTCGGCTCTGTCGTGCCTGAGCTGACTGCGTCACGTGACCACAAATGGGGCCTCAGCAGACAAGGGAGGAGGTTAATGCATTTGGAGACATCTGTAATGTACCAGGTACTTGTACATAGTTATTTCATCTCGTTTCAACAGCCATTCACTGCGTTTGGTTTCAGATGAGAGAACAGCGCCCAGAGGGGCAGTGTGGGCTCCCTAGAGGCCCACAGCTTGAAGCTGAGCTGAGCTATGAAACTAGATCTGATTGATGGCTCTTAGCTCACATTCTTCTGAGATTCAAAGGAAGGGGCAGGAAAGACACGACACATTCTCGGCTACAGATGACAGAGCAAGAACCCCAGCATTTGTGAGGTCCATCACCTAGCCAACTCTGAGGTGGATCTCCTAGTGACCTTACAGGAAGGAGCTCAGAGGTTTAACATTTAGTTTTTGTGTTTTTCCTTCCTTCCTTCCTTCTTCCCTCCCTCCCTCCCTTTCCCCTTCTCCTTCTCTTATGAGCACCTTTGTTCAAAGAATGTGCTTGGGTGGTTTGACTAACACATACTGATTTTAGAATCATGTATGATGAGCAGGGAATTTTAGTTTGAGCCCAGAGAATGTCAGAGCTATCTGATCTCCATACACTCAGCACAAATTCAGGAGTAGACTCCCTGACCCCCAGCCTGTGGGAGGAGGACTGGGGAGGACCTGGTACACCTTAGGAATTCATCTGCATGATAGGGGTTCCTAAGTATCCCACGGTGTCTGCTCACAGTGGCGGCAAGTAGCATCCACGGCAGGGAGTGGGCAGAACCAGGTCTGGCTCTTGGCTTTGCCTATTTAGCCAGGTGAGTCTGGGCATGCAACCAGCTTCAGTGTGTCCTTTGTCACATGAGGGTTAGTGATAGCATGGCCAAAGACTGAGTGAGAGGACCGTCCTCACACAGCTGGGGGAACCTGCTAGTGACTTTCCTACCAGATGGGACAAGAAAACTTCTAGTCCTCCAAGGTCTTCGTCACTAGCCAGCCATGATAGACATGCTTTATGCCTGTATTGTCTGGTATGGTCACTAGCCACACGTGGCCACTTGAACTTCAGAAGTCCAAGTCTGCAGTAAACGTAGTTAGATTTCCGTAAGTCCTACCCTGTTCTCCCCCCTCCCCGCTCTGTGTGCCCTTTAGTCTACCCACTGCTGAGTGCTGCCTCTGATCATCTTCCAAAGCCATGGGGCATCCACCTCTGCTGGGTACTACGTGAGGTCATGTGTGTACAATGCCTGGCACACAGTCAGCCAAATAAGACACTAACTATAATGATGTTCCTTAACAGCGAAGGGAGCTGCAACTCAGAGAGATTGGATCACTTGTCCAAGGGGACATAGTCAGTGAAAGACGCTTTCTAAAGCTGCCTTTTGCTTATTCTGGGGAGTGGGGATGGGGATTACATAGGGGACCGTGGAGGTATATCTGGCTAAACCACATACTCATGAAGACTTTTGAGTATTTTTTAAAAAAATAATTAAAAAATTTGAGTATATGAGTGGTGTGTGTGTGTGTGAGAGAGAGAGAGAGAGAGAGAGAGAGAGTGTGTGTGTGTGTGTGAGAGAGAGAGAGAGAGAGAGAGAGAGAGAGAGAGAGAGAGAGAGAGAGAGAGAGAAAGAGAGAGCATATTGTGGTGGTCAGAGGAGAACTTACAGGAGTCTATTCTCTTTACTGTGTATCCTGGGAATCAAGCTCAGGCCAACAACCCCGGCAGGTAGCACCTTTACCTGCGTTGCCAGGGGCACAGAACTTTAAATGAACTGCTAGATACTCCCAGTCAATGAAGTGAGAGCATTGGCTTCATCAGCTGGGTAAATGCAGCTTGCTGAGGGCTTTTTATCATCTTCCCATGGCAGGAGAAACACTAGGAGCCCACTGAAGCAGGACCAGGTTGTCTCTTGACTTCTGGCAAGGGTAGATGGATGACGGACTTTATTTTGCCCCCAGAGCCTGTCCAGCTGCCTTGAGTCGCCTTGATGTGATTGAAAATGTCTGGGTCTCCACCGTTGAGGTTTGGAGTCAGAGACCTCCTCACAGTGGGCTCTGTCCCA